CAGCAGCCAGCATGAGCGGCCGTCCAGAAGCCGGCAACTGATCTGCCTCGCCCGGGAAGAGCGCAATGATGGTGCCAGCTTGGGCCAGTGAAGCAACTTCCTCCACAACTAGACTGAAGAAAAAAAGGATAGCAACTTGTCTGTTCCCCTTCCCCCAATTCCCCAATAAAAATCTTTAAAAACAAAACAAAACAAAACAAAACCTAGACGGTACAGCCTACTATTGTAATTGTATGTGCTACACTTATATACAACTGGCAGCACAGTTTTTTTACACCAGCATCCCTACAAACACATGAGTAATCCACTGTGCTATGAAGTTACTATTGCTATGACGTCACTAGGCGACAGGAGTATTTCAGCTCCATTATAATCTTGTAGAACCACCATATGGGTTTTCTGTGTTTTTATTTCCTTGAGCTCCATCTCCTTTGCACTAAACTTGCATACCAACACACCTACCTTTAAAACACATACACCAACTCCCATTGACCTTCTGATGGTTCCTCATAGTGTTTAGTATCAAAAATACATATATCTTAAAGCTTTGGTTTAAATAATAGACAAACTCAGCGGTACATTATGCTGGGTACAGAGGCAGTAAAAAAGCCAACTGCTTCAGGAAAAAGTCCCATATGTGGCCCAATATACTCAAGAGGTCAGACTGTAATCTGTAGATAAGATCTGTAGTGTGATTATAAGGTCCATGTTTCAGGGATGAGGTAAAAGAATTCATCATAAATATTAAAAGAAAGGAGAGGGTTGGAGAAAAGCCACAGTAATTCCCAGTCTGTATAAATTCCTTCACTATCAGGATAGGCCCAGTCCTGGGAGGAGAGCACGTAGCGCTTAAAAGCATGGCAGAATAATATTCTTGGAAAGATCCAGCCAGGCAAGGACATAGCCCAACATCAGAAACAGCTGGAGGGAGGGAGAGAGAGGGGTAGAAGGAGGACAAGGGGAAGAGGGAGGGGAGGAGGAGGGAGGGAGGGAAGGAAGACTGCTCAAAGAGAACACAGGTCATTAGAGCTGAGGGTGACAGCTCCTCACCTGCAGCACAAACATTTTGGGATCCACAGAACAGGAATTACAGCTACTCGTGACCATCATACATTTACTTGCAATAAAGCTACACTTAACTAAAACATTAAGTTTCTTTACTTATCAATGTCAATAAAGATATGAATTAGACAGGCCAAGTGGCTCAGTTGGTTAAGAGCTCGCTCAAGAGTTTGAGCTCTGAGCAACAGCGGTTCAATGCCCGGCCCGAGCTGAGCTGCCGTGGAGCTGCCAACAGGTGGCAGGATGGCTCAGCTAAAAAAAAAAAAAGATATGGGCTGAAAAAGTTATCAAATGTATATCAGAGGCTCTGCTTGGCAAGAATGTCTTTTACTAACACTAATGGGTAAAATACTTAAGAGTCTTGAATGAGAATCTTTCATAACATGAAGCCCAGGTGTGGAAATAAGAAGTATCACTGGTAATTAAAAACTAAGGCTGAAAATCAGAGACTTATACAATAGTTATACCTCTATTCCTCTTTCCTTCTAATCTTATCTCAGATACTATAGGCTAATAAAAAAACAAACTTTCAGATTGAAGCAATTTAATAAGGAAACTTGTTCTTAGGGTTTAAAGAGCACAAAGTTCAGGAAGTGCCTTCTGTAGTCAAGATGACATCTTTGACTTTGGAGAGCCTAAGGTGATTCTGATACAGAGAAAAATCAAGTTGCTGACTGACTCTGGCTCACTCCAGGTGTGTCAATGCAGGTCCTTCAAAAAGTAAATGCCAAGACACAATCAGACATGCAAGAGATCTATTGGGGGAAACACGTGAAGGACGAAGGGGAAAGGGAGCAGCAGTAGGTGAGGTCTGTCCAAAAGGCATGTCTGACACCTGGACACAGAGACCGCCCTGAGCAGGAAGAGCCGCAGACTGCGATGCAGCTCTGTAAAAGTCAATCATGCCAACAGGGTGCCCCAGGGCAAAGACTGTCCATTAGCAGATCCCTGCACTGGCCAAGTGTGGTTCAGCTCTAGTAACTCCACCATCATCAACCCATGGCCTCAGCATGAATGCTGCAAGAGATCCCAAAGGTAGGGCAGCTGAAGGCTGCTGGTAATTACAAGCCTCACAGCAGGTTCTCTCATGAAGGGAAAGATGAGCAGCTCATTGCCATGGCGGCCATAGTCCACCCCTTGTGTTGCACAGATCCACGTCACCCCCAACATTTGGAGAGCAGCTCCTCCACAGTTCCTTCCTGTGTGCCTCTCCTCAAAAGAAACTTAGAAGAAAAACAAGAGCAGAACAAATTTTATCTCCATCACTGCAATTGTTCTTAGGGCTGCACCTCCTCATCTCCATCCTCCAGTATCTATCTAAATCCCCCTCACCCACAGCTACCTCTCCATGTCTTGGTAGCTGATCTGATTAATTGACCCAAACTCTCATTCCTAAGGGGTCTGAGCCCCTGACAATCATGTCATTCTGATTCCAGGGTGGCTGTGACACGTCCACTCACACTTATAATTAATGAGCACTTGAGTTCCACATATGCAACCTGTTGCCATTGTGTAAAAGCAATCCTATCTCCTTTAGCCAATAATAATCATGTCATACCAAAAATGTATTTATATGCCAAATATACACTAGTACACAAAAATTAATATTATCTGTATTATATTTTCTAAAAACTGGCAAGATTTAATAACTTTAGTTACCACTATTATAAATCCCAAATTGTTATACTGTTATTTCCAATTTCAAATTTTACAACAAAATAATACTGGCCATATTGCTATTTTTAAATCATGTATCTAAATCAAGTTCAAAAGATAATCAAGTTACTAAATAAATATATATTATTAATGTAATATTCATTCAAAGGTTACTAAATAATCTTTATATTTTTATATTTTCAGATTCAATCTAAATTAAAAAATTTCTAAATTGTCCAATGGTTGGGTTTATTATGCTGGCTTCATTTGAATAAGTAGTGAGCTTAGAAAATAAACCAAGTAAACCCATAGGACAATTTCCAAACAATGTAAAATTCCCAAAGCATAATAAAAAAATTATAATAACTTTAATTCACAGTAATTTTCTTCCTAAATACCCAAAGTTTAATAGTTTCTTTAAGTATGCCTCACATTTTGACAATGGTCTTGTTTAGAAGGAATCTGCAACTCACCTTTGTACACCATAGGGCCTTTCTAAAATAGGCTCTTTGAATGGAGGCGGAATGTGACCAAAATAATCAGGATAGGCCACCTCTGAATATTCTGGGACAGACTTTGTATTTTTCACAATCTCAATATAGAGATCTGAGTCATGAAGTGTTGGTCCATCAGAGACTTCAACTGATGCTTGTTCCACTGATGAAGTAGACTCAGTATCTTCATCATCCTCAGTTTCAACTCCAGTGCAGCAAAGCTTCCCTAGCTGAACTGCTCTTCCCTCAAACAGAGCATTTCCACAAGTAGCCACGTGTGGGCACGCTTTAGCGCACGTGACAACAGTAAGAGGAAGACTGTAGTCCTTCTTCATTCCTGAAGTAAAACCCGAGGCTGTTTGAGAAGGAATATTCTGCAATGTAATTCGGTCCAAGGCCTTCACAATATCATTGTTTAAGCCATGGACTGATGAAATAGTTCTATTTTGATCACCTAGTTGCTGTTGTAATGTTCTGTCATTATCTTTAGTATCTTCTTTTGCCAGATCCATAAAGGGACGTTTCTTATTGCCTTCATCTCCTTTAGGAGACACATTCGCCTTCGTTGTAACGCCTTTTCTTAAATTGCCTGAATTCCCAGATGCTTCTTCTCCCGCTGTAGGAACAACAATAGGACCACGTACTTTCCCCTCAAACACCAAAGGCTTTGGTTCTTTGGAGATTAAGTCATAGTCCTATGAAAATAAAAAATATGTTTAATCTTTCATCTGTAAATATTAAAACATATTAACAAAATTAAAATCATATTCATTTTATATGCTACCTTGGAAACCTAACATTTGAAATTTTTAAACATAAATAAAATGGTATGTTTTAATTTTGCTAATAAAAGACAAAATATTTACCACAACAAAATTCATTACACATATTTTACTTTTTTCTGTAATAAAAATAATGCCTATATTGTAATAGAAACATGGGAAATTAAAAAAAAATAAAGACATTAAAATCATCCAAAATTCTACTAAAGAAAACACAATTAACTAAATTATAGTTCATTAATTCAACACATATTTACAAGTGTCTGTTTTGTACAATAGTTAGAATGTCTGCTTTTTGCCAAGCACTATTTCAGGTGCTTAAGAACCGTTAGTTAAAAAGACATAAAACAACTCATCCCTTTTGCAGCTTACATTCTTCTACAAAAGGAGGGAAGAGGACAGTCAATACAACGAGTAATAAACATGATATATCTTATAAAACATTAGAAGGGTAAAGTATTATAGCAGAAAAGGGGAGGGAAAGGGTAACATGAATTTGGGAGTGCCAGGGCAAGAGAGGTGCACTGCAACTTTAAATGCTGTGAATTAGGGAAACCTCACTAAGATGAAATATTAGCAAAGACAGAGAGAACTGTCACTGCACAGGCTCTAGAGTGGGAGAATGCCTGGTGTATTCACAGAACAGCAAGGAAATTAGCATGACTGGAACAAAACAAGCAAGATGAATTCTAAGAGGTGAAAGAGAGCCAGATATTGTAGGGTTGTAACACTGTTGGTTTTTATATTGAGGGTTTTGAGAAGAGTTTCTCCAGATCCTATGGGAAAACAACTCTCAGATTCCAAAAGGCAATGAATCCCAAACATTTAAAAATAGTCAACACTAGTGGGAAACGACAGAGCACTGAAACTAAAGAAATTATCTTAAAATTCACCGGAAACAATTTTTTTTTTAATATTTTATTGGGGAGTTGGGGGAGGGGAACAGCATTGGATGTCAGGGAAGAGGAATAGGCAAGTTGCTGTCCTTTTGTTCTTCAGTCCAGTTGTGGAGGACGTCGCTTCACTGGCCCATGTTGGTATTATCATTGCGCTCTTCCGGGATGAGGCAGTTGCTCGCTGTCCATTGGACGGCCGCTCACAGCGGCTCACAGCAGCTGATGTTCATGAAAGCTCACACCAGCTGCCGGCCAGCCCCACTGCAGCCTACGCCATCGCTGGTGACTCACGGCAGCCCAGCTCCAGGTCGAGCTGTTGTTCACCATCTTAGCTGTAGAGAGCGCAGCATCACTGGCCTTCATGTGGGATCCGAACTGGAGCCCTGCTGCTCAGAGCTGGTGCTCCAAAGCCAAACTCTTAACCAACGCGCCACTCGGCCACCCTAGAAACAGTTTCTTATAAAGTGAAAACCTACACTGATTATACATACTACCCAGCAATTTCATCTGTAGGTATTTACCCAAGAGAAATGAAGGAATTTCCATAAAAACTGTTGAACAGTGACGTTAGTATCAATTTTATTTAGCTCCAAACTGCAAACATTCCAATACTCATCAAATGAATGGATAAAGAAACTGTGGTGCAATGAAATAATATTCAGCAATAAGGAAAGAACCACTTATACATGCAACAATGTGGGTGAATCTCAAAAACATATGCTGAGCAAAAGAAGCCTTACACAAAAGAGTACATACTATATGATTCCAGTTTTGAGAAGTTCTAGAACAGACAAATTAGCCTAGAGTGACAGATATAACAGATCAGTAGTTAATTAGGCAGGAGATGAGAAGATTGACTAAAAAAGGGCCCAAGGAAACTTTCTACAGGTTGATGGAAATAATTCCATATCTTGACTGGGTTGGTAGTTACACAGTTGCATAAATTTGTCAAAACTCATTGAACTTAAATATATGTAATTTATTGCATGTAAATTATACTTCACTATAGTTGACTTTAAAAAATCAAAGGAAAAAGAGACCAAGTTTCAATAATGATTACAAAAACAAAAACAAAAAAAACACTTTCAGACCAAAAGACAGACAAAAATATAGTCACACACTAAAAGACATATTTCAGGCAGAAGGAAAGTAATTCAGACAGGAGGTCTGAGAAACAAGAAGAAATGAAAAATTAAGACGTAGTAAAAATGTGGGTAAATCTTAAACAAAGAATGTAAAACACAAAGTACCATTACGTGGGTTTTTTTAAAGCTAGAGTTAGAATATATTTAAAACCACAGAAACTGGTTTGGTAGGTGATTATAGTTAAAGTATTCTAAGTTTCCTGTTATAATTAAGAAAAAGAGGGCTGGCCAAGTGGCGCGTTGGTTAAGAGCTGGCTTGGGACACCAGAGGGACCCGGTTTGGATCCCACATATGAGGGCCAGTGATACTGCCCTCTACAGCTAAGATGCTGAACAACAGCTCGACCTGGAGCTGGGCTGTCGTGAGTCGCCATCGGCTGCAGCCCCTGATGCAGTGGGTTGCCATGGGCTACCGTGTGTAGCCAGCAGCCAGCGTGAGCAGAAGCTGGCGACTGATCTGCCTCGCCCAGGAAGAGTGCAATGATGGTGCCAACTTGGGCCAGTGAAGCAACGTCCTCCACAACTAGACTGAAGAACAAAATGACAGCAACTTGTCTGTTCCCCTTCCTCCAATTCCCCAGTGCTGCTCCCATCCCCCAATTCCCCAATAAAAATCTTTAAAAAAAAAGAAAGAAAAAGAGAAAAGAAAGGTCCTGGTTAACTTCAGAATTTAGTAAAGAGTATCTTTACTCTATCAAGAGTAACTAAAATTTTTGTGTATTTGTCAATATTGAAACATACACTTTAAATGAAAGCAGTTTATTGTACTAAATTGTACTTCAACAAAATTGATTAAAATAAAAAATATAACAAGATCATATAGCTTTTAAACTAATAAGAGTGAAAAAGTAAAACAAGAAAAAAAATCAATCCAAATGAAGGCAAGGAAAAGTAACAAAAATACAGAGATAAACCAAATGAAAGTACAAAATGAGATCTCATAAAGATAAATCCAAATATAGGAATAATGTATGTAAATGAATTATTTAATAAATGCCCCAGTTAAATGGCAAAGACTCAGACTTGAGTTTTAAATCCAACTATATGCTGCTTAAAACATACACATCTAAGGATATGAAAAAGTTGAAAATAAAAAGATTTTAAAGGACACCAGGGAAGTAACCAAAATTAATATAACTACATTAATATATTTTAAAAACATTTTTGCCTTAAAGTCTTAGAGATAAAGACAATAATTTTGTGATAAAAAGTTCAGTTCAAAAGGAAAAGAAATAGTTACATTTATACAGAATAATGTCTCAAAAATATATATATAACAAAAACTGACAGACCTGCAAAAAAAAGACATTCATAATCATAGAGAAATTTTAACACTTTTTCACAGTAATTGATAGCATAGGAATGAAAATCCATAAAAACCGGAAAAAAAATTCTCAACCTGATTAACAATCTTTTCCTAATAGGCAAATGTACAACTATGCCTCACAACTGCAGAACTCTTTTCAAGGACGCAAGAAATAGTAACAAAAGTTGACCTTATTTAAAACCATAAAATAAGCCTCAAAATTTTCAAAGGATTATAATAATAAAGACTATGAGGGCCGGCCAAGTGGCTCAGTTGGTTAAGAGCTCGCTCAAGAGTGTGAGCTCTGAGCAACAGCGGTTTGATTCCTGGCCTGAGCTGAGCTACTGCTGAGCTGCCAACAGGTGGCAGGATGGCTCAGCTAAAAAAATTTTTTAAAATAAAAATAAAAATAATATGTCCTCTTATCCTACAACATTCTAGAAATCAATAAAAAGATAAATTAAAAATTAGAACTTAAAAAGCCAACTTTGACATTACCAAAGAACCAAAGAAAAAAATCATAATGGAAATAGTTTAAAAACAAAGATAATGAAAATACTAAATATGAACATTTATGTGATACAGCTAAATCAGTAATTACAATAAAATTGATAGCCTAAATATACAAATATTGTAAAATAAGAAAGGCTGAAAAGTATTGGATGCTTGTCTTATGATAATACAAAAAATATAATATTGGGTTGTCGGAAAAGTCATGACATATTGTTTCTATGTTTTTCATTGCAAAAATGCATCATGACTTTTCCAACAACCCAAAAAAAAAAAAAAAAGAACAAAAGCAGGAAAAATCAAAACATGGCACTGTAAGCATATCATTTAGAAATACAGGGATTAACTTCAAACACATGCTAAAAGTGATTCTAGGGAATAGCAGGTGGAAAGAGAATTACAGTTTTCCTAATTACGTAAAATTATTTGACTCTTTAAACTTTCTCCGTGCATAACTTCAATAAAAATTTTAAACCAAATTAAAAAGGATAAAAGAAAAACAAAACATAACCAAAGTCCATATGGTAAATGTCATCATGCTACCACAGATGTATGAAAAAAGAGCTGTGAAAATACAAAATTTTGACATTTCCCATATTCTGCGATCAAGAAACAAAAGCAAATAAAACTATAACTGTCACTACGAATAATCACAGCTTTTAAAGCATGGTAAGGTCTCTTCAAAAAGTATGTTGATAATTACTTTAATAATTCCATATGTTGCCTTCTAATGCATTCATTTTGCCTCCATCTGGCCATTGAATAATACCCTTCACACATCTGGAAACACATTAAGTAATCTTAAGGTTTACTGGTTGATGCTGAAAATGACATGCAAATCCAAACGGAAAATGTCACAATCAAAATTAATTTCATTTACGTTTAATATCTCATGATCTGTCAGTATTTGATATGATGATGTCCAGAAAAAAAATTCTTTCAAACACTTCCTATCTGGAAACAACCAATATTTTTAATTCTCAAAAGTACATCACTGAAATACCATTGCCTATATGTAGTTCCAACACAGGCTTCAAAAAATATACTGAAGTATTTGAACAGTACATTCCTCTGAAACTTAAAAGTGAGATAGTCAAGTGCCAACACAACTACTTTAGAAATGATTTTCCAATTATTTAAATAAAAGACAATGTACTATTTCCCATAACATATGCAGAGAAACAGAGCTAACTAGTCTACATAAAACTTTATGGCAAAATAGAGAATGTATTAATAAACAATATCTGAAATACTTGAAGTAGTTTCTTTTGCTGCAACACAATAAAAAGGAGTACTCACTTGGGAAGAAGGCTTTTCAGAGCTCTCACATGCAAACCTGTCTTTACCATCTGACCCTGCACTCACCAAGTCTGACCAAAAGTAGGAACCTGTTTTAGAAGCAGCTAAACTAAAGGACAAGTTGGCCTGATGTTCATAGGTACCAAAGCACAAAACCATCAAGGGTAGCCTACTCTGGGTGATGAACTAATAGGCAAACATACAAGAAGAACTCATCATCATAGTCTACAAGAAAGAAGAACTGGTTTGTGAAAGAATGAGAATCAAAATCTTGGCCTTCATACCCACTAAAAAATTACTCTTCTCTATCCCCACAATTTTTAATAAGATACATAGTTCTCATATGCACAGAGAGAACAGGTGATTTCTTCACATAATAATCAATTCCTTCTCCAAATTTCTTCCCCAATATTTCTCTGCTATGAGTTAGCAGTATTTGTTATCTCTGGGGTTTACTTTTAAGTGGTTCTTACCTGGGCAAAAAGGTGTTAAAGAGCAGCCAGATAACTTCCTGTAGGTTGAATGAAAGAAAATCATCCCATATCCTTTCCCAAATGCCTCTTCCTACTTTCTTCTTTTTTTCTTTTTGACAAATACCCTCTCTTTCATTCCTGCCCTTTTTTTTAGTATCCCTGATTTCAGAGTACCTTTCAACATACACTAAATTTATGGGGAGTACAAAGATGCTGGGAAAAGGGGAGGGGAGGCAGCTTGCTGCTGCTTCTACTGCAGTCAAAGCTCATCAATTCCCAAAGAAAAGCCGGAAAAATTAGAACTGTGAAATGTAAACATTAGCTAGCAAGTATTTCTCTCCTTTAATATCTCACATATAAGGTTCACATAGCAGGAAGAGCTAAATAAATCTGAGAGTATCTGGTTCAAACCCTTTATTTTACAGTTTAAGATCCTGGGCAGTTTCAGGGACTTATTCAAGGACCCACCACAAGGAGCAGCAGACTGAGAATAAGAAACTAGATCTATTATTTGCCATCAATTCAATCAGCTTTACTTGTGTAATACAATCTGAATTCCAGTAAATAAATTAGGTTAAGAAATGTTAACAAGAAGTTGCTCTTCCTATGAGCCAATTTAGAGTTAAAGACTTCAAGTTGTTCTCTCCCCTCCCCCACATTCCATGGTTTATATAGTGACTATCAGGGGAAAAAATTTAACATGCACAGACTATATTTTTAATTCAGCAGCTTCTTAGATCTCATCTTCCCTTAGCTGAATGCAACTGGTACAAAGAAGACTTTACAATAAGATTTTGAAATGCCATTTTAAAGATTATTTTTTAAAAGGAGTAAAAAACTGTCCAAGTAATAAACCAAAGTGATATAAAAATTAAAAAGCTGGTCTAAAAATTAAATGAGCCAGTGCCCTCATTTTAGAAAATGTGGAAGTAATTGTCCAATGTCACTCAGAAAAAGCACTACTACTTCCATTTTTTAGAAATGAAAATCAGAATAAAAACAGTGATTATAGGCCTGAGGGATAAAAAAATAACTTTTTCTTAAAATCAGTTAAGATGCTTAGTTTTCTATATTTATACCTGAAAATCATCAACAAGCTCAGGGAAAAGGTGTTCATACATTTTAAGTTCTTCTATTGTTCGTCCTGGTTCTTGCTGGGGTTTTAGTTTGTTAATATCTGTTTCAATGTCATCATTCTGAAATAATAAAAATGGCATGTCACCAGATAAGAAAAACGTAAAATTACAGTACACATTTCAGATTTAAACTTTTTCAAATTATTAATTACATGTAATTAAGAGAATGAATACTGAATAAAGGCTGTATTAATTTTACCATAATTTAAAATTTGCTTGTATTTTTGGGTTGTTGTGTTATTGCTTTGTGTTTTGTTTTTGTCAAAGGTTATTCTAATATATTTGGGCTCCTCAAGATAGAAAAACTATTGTAAAGATCAAGACTAAGGTATGCTCCCCCTACCTCCCTAATTGCCATCATTTTGCTCATAATTAAATGGAAGCTTAAAACTTAGGCAAGCTAAATTGAAAAACTTAAGTATACGATAGTAGTGGTGATAATTGAAATAACTAACCTTTATTGGGCACTGAAAAAATGTGAAGCACTATGCTACTATGCTAAAGATTTTACATATTATCTAATTCAATCTGCATAAGAACACTATGGAGTAGATAGTATCCTTTTCTCCATTTAACTGAAGAGAAAACTGAGGTACAGAGAGGTTAAGTGGCTTTCTCAAAATTACACAGCTTGCAAAGAGAGGAGCCAAAACGTAAAACTAGTCAGTGATTCTAGAGCATACACTGCTCGTCTGCATAAATGCACTTCCTCAGAAAAGATTAATGATTACCATGCACTCTTAACATGGTTAATAAAGTGCCCTTAGAAAAAGCTCAGTGTCACCATCCCCTCTGTTTCTCAGGGAAAAGGAAAGGGGTGGAACGACAGCTAGAAATGACTTCTGTGCCCCTTAGGAAAGAAGAGGGTAAATTTAAAAAAGAAGTGTGACTTCAGAGAAATGGTAAGTATCCAGAATCAATTTTGTCTGCATCTATTCAAGAAGATAATAATGTACACCATGATGGGAAAATGAGTGTCAGTTTACCTACCATCCAAGCTATTCTCTAGGACCCTCAACAACTCTGGCCTCACACAAATGCAAACTCATCACTACCTTCATTGATAGCTAAAGAGAGGTAAGATCACTTATTAATTTTCAATTGGTATTCATTTTTAATTTTACATTTATCTTACTACCACAGAGTCAACTTCTTTTCAGCCTTAAATTTATCCTACAATGCTTCAATCCTTAAAATGCTTTCTATATACATGTACCTAACTATATTTATACATGTTTATAATAAGTAATTTAAAAGGGAAAACATGCTATACATTTCTCCTGTTTCATGTTCAGGAATTTAGCTATTATTAGTATAACCAATAAAAAGATTTTCCCCATTGCCATAAATAATAAAGACTGATTTTATTTAAAGAGTATCACGTTAATTATCATTACGTAATTATTATTACATGAATATTTCATGCATCTTAAATTATGCATTGATGAATCAAAATATTTAATTTTCTTGATTAGCTCTAATAAAGTAGACAATGCTTTCAAAATAACAAAAAAATTTACAGAGGCATTATTTTCTCTAGCCATACTAGCTCAGTATTATTTTATGAAAACACTGCTTTATGTAATGGCTATCTACTTAAAAAAAAAAAAAAGAATTTATCAGTAAAACAGGCATAGTGAGGAAAGAAAACTTTACTTTGAAAGATCAATAACAAGAAATCTTGTGTTTTGGTTTAAAGAAAAACAAAGATGAAGAGCTACTGACAGACTTAGAAAAAACAAAAGAACCTTCTACCACTGCTTAAAGTTCTTCTAGAGTTAAGGAGGGGAAAAATAATGCGCTGAAGCTAATATACTGACAAGTCCTGGCTATCTGGAGATGCGTCTTCTAGAACCTCCAGGTTTCTATAAATGCTCCGAAAATCTGAAAAATCTAGGGTAAAGAGAATGGAATCATTATGGTGAGAAAAAACAGTCTCTAAGACTACAGCCATAATAGAACACAAATATTATACCCACTACAACGTGGCAGGTTCACCTGAAGCATGAAAGAAGTGATGGATTTAGATTAAAAGGAAAAAATAAGGAATGTCCAAATGTAACAGCCAATGAGAGTAAGAGATGAACAGAGGTAAAGAAGAAAAATAAGATAATACAACTCAAAAGTCTCTAAGAGCCAATAATTCTGTAGCCCTTGAAGAAAAATAATATTTTATTACAGCATGATTGTAAAGAGAGCCAACATTCACACCAGGCTGCTTTATTCTGAATGCTGGCTCCACCTCTTTAAGCTAACTTATAACCTTTCTGTCCCTCATTTTTCTAATTATTGGCCTATAAAGCAGAGGTAATAATACCATGTACCTTACAGGGCTGCTAGGAGGACTTAATGGTTACTATATGTAAAGAGCATGGACTAGCATAGGCTAAAGTGTCCAATAAATTCAATCAATTACATTTTCTTATTATTATGACTGCTCTGTTAAGGTAAAGTGGGGAGAATGTGAGCAATCACTGATACTCCAGTGAATAATGCAGCCAACAACTGTATTTTTCAAAGATGTGAACGTCATAATAGACAAAGAAATCTGTGGAAATGTTCTAAGTTAAAGGAGACTTAAGAGACAATTAAATGCAATACCCGGTGCTAGGTCCTATACTATAGAAGGCAGAAATCTTTAAAAGGACATAATTAGAGCAACTGAGAAAATGGAATATGAATAGATTGGATTAAAATGTCTTATCACTATAACTTTATGAAGTTGATAACTGTACTGTGGTTATGCAAGACAGTGTTACTATTCTTAGGAAATATACACTGATGTATTTAGGGGTAAGAGACCATGATACATGATATATGTAACTCAAATGATATGTATCCTCAAATGATTTCTTTTTAAGTAAGTATTCATGCATACACATGAATAATTTCCAAGTAGCAAAATTAGAATCACTGTTATAATTCCTATTGAGTTCTATTTCCCTACCAATCTCTGTCTTTACATCTAGAATGATCACAACAATAGGTATTTTTAATGAGGACCCTAAGCCATGAAGAATAAATAAACTGTACTCAACATACTTTGTTTTTAATAGACATGGAAACACAGCACATAAAAGAAAGGTGCCTACTGACATACAGTACTTTAAATTATACACTTAGTATTAATCTGGGAAATTTTTACTACCCCTACACACTCACTTCCCAAAGAGCCCCAACAGTTGATTTTAACATTACATACAGAATTTAAATTTTCCCAACTTGGATTCTACCAGTTCTTCCACCTATATCAAGTCCAGAACCACAAACACAGTTAACCCCAGATGTTTTGCCTTAACCATCAGAGCCTACACTGTTTTTTTTTTCTTTGTAGTTTTTTGAGCCCAGGATGCAAATCATCATGTTGCCCAGATTGGCTAACTTGACTGTTTGCCAAAGCTTGCATTGGTGGTCATATTTTGTGACAAAAAAATCAGTTGTATATCTGCTATTAAGATAGAAATCTCCTTCCAATACCTAGGATTCTATCTCCAGAAAATCAAACACTCAGTGAACCCCAATTCTGATGTAGCATTTTAAGACAAAAAGGGTCAAGCAGATAAGAGTCTAATGAATTTCCCACGCACACACCAAGAAAAGCAATAAGCTAAATAGTTGAAAACTGAAGGCATTAAGCATACATTTTTCTACATTTTTTACTAAAATCGCCCTTTCTACCATTAAATTAAAGCAAAATATAAAGTATCTAGACTTGTAGAAGTGCCATAGAATTCTGAAAACTCACCTGCCTCTGTACTTAACATCTCATACATGACAATAGTTTTTCTTTTCTCAATTCAATAAACACTTTTGTCCATTTCCTTCTCCAACTGAAACCTAAGAATCATCATTAATCCTTACCAAGAAGCCATCAGTTATATTTTCCTACTATTTTGTATCCCCAAAAGATTGTGAAAGAGAAATAGGTTGTCACTTCAAATCACAAACCACTTCACTTCAAACTTAGATTTCCTTAGACTTCAAAATCTAAGTCAAAAAGGTTAGATAACATCTTCCTGGTTCAGAGAGTGAAAATAAATTATTTTAAGGTCCTTTTCAGACCTGTGCATTCAAAGCACCATTATTTTCCCTTTCAATAGCTTACTGTCCATCGTCAGCCAAGATAAAAAGATGTGGACAAAACAAATTAATCTCCCGTTAGCTATATCTATTTAACCAATCTTTGTTTTACAACTGTGTATGCAATATGTAAAGTGACTGAAGACAGAAATTTATACTAACCTTAAAATTTTGATCTAGGTCATCCTCATTTTCGGTTTCATTTTCAGCTTCTAAATCAATATCATCGTTGTCATCACTTTCATCTACTACGTCATCCACTGTGATACAAAATGTGCTATAAGTAGGCCAGAGGTAAGCATTCTACAACATGCACATCCAAAGGTATAATGTTATATACACAAGTATAAAGTATTTCAATCACCAAAGGAAAACTAATTTTTTTTATTAAAAAATGTCTCTATGGCTATCCCAGGTGTTGAAAAAACTGTAAGATAAAGTGAAAGTGCTTTAAAATTTCGAAAAGCACTGTAAAAATGAATGGATTTTTTACTAATGTTTTCAGTTGTTTTAATTAATAATGTCTTATGTTGCAACAGCTTGAATGAAGCATCTTGTTTTCTATTTATGTTAAATTCCAATAACTCATTTCATCCCTTTACAATTCACTTCCTATTTGTTTCAATGACTACCATGTATCATGTGTTGTGTTGTATGCTGGGAATTTTTTGAAAGATGTGTAAATATAGGTCCCCTGTCCTTAGGGAGCATATGAGGTTAAAGAGCAGAAAAGAGTAAACAAGTAATTATGTTACAAGAGATATACATTAATGAAGGCATACTTAAAAATGCTATGGGAAAGCAAGGGATGGAATAACATCACAAAGTGTTTGGTGCCAAGGGGTCATCAGTGATCACTTCACAAAAACAGGTAATAATTAAGTATTTTGAAAATACAGCAGCTTTCTAGGTGAACATAAAAGTGGATGAATGTGACTTTTAAGAAAAGGAAATAATGCTAAAATAAAGAATTTAGATGATATCATTGGAGAACAATAAGTTAACCATGACTTGACTTGTATGCATGGGAAAGTACTGAAAAAGGCAAATAATAATGAGCTAATGAAGGATACAGCAGACTAAGTAGTTCAGATGTTTAACCTACAGATGATCGGCACTGAGGATTTTCAAGAGAATGGATTAATCCAACTTAAGTTTCTCAAAAGATCACTCTGGGACGTGTGAAAGAGGGAACATGTATGTGGAGGGAAACCAATTAATAGAGGAAAAGACAATTAACTGTCAGTAATGCAGATGAAGAATGAAGACGCATTCGAGAAAAACTCAGGGACTAGAAGGACATGAGGACCATCCATGGACGTGGGGGAGACAAGGAAAGAAGAGTAGAAGAGGACTTGGAGTACTCCTGTAAGTACCCAAGTGCTTTAAAACAAAGTATAGAATATTTTACAAGGATGCTTTTCTAAACATTTTTTTAGCTCTATTGAGAAATAAGTGATAAATATAATTGTATATATTTAAAGTGTACAACGTGATGATTTGCTGTACAGACACACTGTAAAATGATTACCAAAATGAAGATAATAACACATCCATCACCTCATATAGTTACCACTGTTAACACTTTGTGTGTGTGTGTGTGTTGAGAACACTTAAGATTTACTCTCAGAAACTTTCAGGTACACAACACTGTGTTATTAAGTATAGTCACCATGCTGTACTTTAGATCCTCAGATCTTAATCTTCTTAAAATTGAAAAATTGTACCCTGTGGCCTCATCACCCCATGTACTATACTCCCCAGCCCCTGGCATACAACATTCTGTTCTGTTTCTATGAAATCAGTTGTTTTTTAAGGTTCCACATGTAAGTGATACCATACAGTATTTGTCTTTGTCTGGAATATTTCACTTTGCATAATGCCTTCCAGATTCATCTATGTTATTGCAAATGACAAGAATTCCTTTTTATTGGCTAAATAATATTCATACACCTATTTCATATACTATATGATAGATATGCTGTATCTCTCATATGTATAGAGATAGAGATAAAATATACATATAGGGATAATCACTTTTCCTTTATCCATTCATCCCACAAAGGGCATTTAAATTGTTACCAAATCTCCTCTACTGTGATCAATACTGCAATGAACACGTGTGTGCAGATATCACTTCAAGATAGTTATTTCAATTCCTTTGGATGTATGCCTAGGAGTGTGACTGCTGGACCATATGGAGGTGTTTTTAATTTTTTGAGGAACCTACATGCTGCTTTCCATACTGACTGTACCATTTTACATTCCCACCAATAATGTGTAAGGGTTCTGTTTTCTCCACATTTGCCAACATTTGTTATCTTGTCTTTTTCATAACAAATATTTTTCAGGTGTGAGGTGATATCTCACTGTGGTTTTGATTTCTATTTCCCTGATGATTAACTATGTTGAACACCTTTTAATATACCTATTGGCCATTTGTATACTTTGGGAAAATGTCTATTCACGTTTAAATTGGATTATTTGCTGTATGTGTTCTTTACATATTTGAGGTATTAACCCCTTATTAGATATATGGTTTACAAATATTGTATTGTTTCTTCTGCTGTGCAGAATCTCTTTAGTTTGATGTAGTCCCACTTGTTTATTTCAGCTTCTATTGCCTGTGCTTTTGGTGTCATATCCAAGAAGTCTGCCAAGATCAACATCAAGGATCTTTTCCCTTAAGTTTTCTTCTAGGAGTTTTACAGTTTCAGGTATTATATTTAAGTGTTTGATCCATTTTGAGTTAATTTTTGTGAGTGGTATAAGATAGGTATACAGTTTCATTCTTTTACATGTGGTTATCTACCTTTCCCAAAACCACTTATTTAAAAGACTGCCCTTGGGCCGGCCAAGTGGCGCGATGGTTAAGAACTGGCTTGGGACGCCAGAGGGCCCCGGTTCAGATCCCACATATGAGGGCCAGTGACACTACCCTCTACGGCTAAGATGCTGAACAATAGCGAAACTTGGAGCTGGGCTGCCCTGAGTCGCCGGCGACGGCGTAGGATGCAGCCCCTACTGCAGTGGGTTGCCATGGGCTACCATTTGTAGCCAGCAGCCAGTGTGAGCGGCCAGTGGCCGTCCAGAAGCCCGCAACTGATGTGCCTCGCCCGGGAAGAGCGCAATGATGGTGCCAACTTGGGCCAGTGAAGCAACATCCTCCACAACTAGACTGAAGAACAAAACGACAGCAACTTGTCTGTTCCCCTTCCCCCAATTCCCCAGCGCTATTCCCATCCCCCCAATTCCCCAATAAAAATCTTTAAAAAAAAAAGACTGCCCTTCCCCATTGTGTGTCTGTGGCACCCTTATCAAAAATTAAATGACCATATATGTGTGGGTTTATGTCTGAGCTCTCTATTCTGTTCCATGGTCTATATGCCTGCTTAGAGTACCATACTGTTTTGATTATTATAGCTTTGTAATATTGGGTTGTCGGAAAAGTCATGATGCATTTTTGCAACGAAAAACATAGAAAAAATATGTCATGACTTTTCTGACAACCCAATAGTTTGAAATTAAGAACTGTGATACCTCCAGCTTTGTTCTTCTCAGGATTGCTTTGGCTATTTGGAGTCTTTTGTTCCATATAAAATTTTAACGTTTTTCTTTACTTCTGTGGGAAAAAAAAAAAGCAACTGGAATTTTGATAGGGATTGCATTGAATCCGTAGACCATGAGCTTGATTATAATGTCTCAGTGGAGATCTCCTTAGGATGAATCTGTTTGGGAATGTTTGAGCTTCATGTACCTAGATGGCTATATCTCTCAGATTTGGTAAGTTTTTGGTCATTGTTTCTTCAAATAAGTTTTCTGTCCCTTTCTCTCTCTTCTCCTTCTGGGATTCCACAATAGATACTATTTCACTTAATGGTGTCCCATTATTCAAACAGGCTTTCTGAACTCCTCTTCATTCTAATTTATTTTTTCTCCTCTGAATAATAGCAAGAGATCTGTCTTCAAGTTCACAAGTTATTTCTTCTGCTTGATTGAGCCTGTTGTTAAAGTTCACAATCATATTTTTCATTATTTTCTTCAGATAAAAAAATTTGGTTTTTTTTAATGATTTCTTTCTCTTTCTTGAACTTCTTGTTTTGTTCATGTATTGTTATTATATTAATTGAGTTGTCTACCTGTCTTCTCTTGAATTATCTTAGCTTCCTTAAAATAATTATTTTGAATTCTTTTTCAGATAACTCACAGATCTTTATGTCTCTGGAAAAGTACTGTGTTCCTTTGGTAGGATCATGTTTCCTTGATTTTTCATTTCTGAGGGTTTTGTGTTGATGTCTGCATATTTGAGGACACAGTTACCGCTTCCAGCCTTTCTGGATTGGTATGGTGGGGCAAGACTTTCACCTAAAGGTGGTTGTGTGAGCAGTGGCTGTGTAGGATGCAGCATCTTTGTTTCCTGGAAAAGCACTGGGGCACAGTCTCTGTGTAGCTCCATAAGCTGAAGTCAATGTCAGCACAGAGTATGGGGTTTTCTGTGGCCAATACAGCAGAGGTCCTATGGGTAGCAATGGTGGCTACTAAGAACCTCAAAGGCAAAAGTTGCTGTTTTTTTCTTGTTCTCCTTTTATGCCCACAGGAGGAAGTTCCAGCCAATGGGATTCCTCTTGCCACCTCATCTGGTATACTGGCATTCAGAGATGTAGCACACAGCTGGGGTCCTGGAATGAAGCACATGCAGAACTACCACAGTGTTTGGGTCCTGGCGCACAGATGCACTTACTGTGACAGTGGCATTGGTGTCTAAGGTGAGAGAATGTAAAGATCTCTCGTGGAAAAGGAATCTGTGTCTCTGAGGCTCACCGTAGCAACTCCAGCAGGGGGAGATGCAGTGGAGCATGGGCCCACAATGAGAGCTCCATCCCTGATGAGTTAATTCAGCAGGTGGGACTCTAGGCAGCTCCATCAGCTGGGATCAGCTTTGGTGAAGACTTGGGAAACCTTGATAGCAAAGCCTACAGGTGTCCACAGTGGTGAGACTTGCTAGGGTTCTCCGGTTCTCCTTTTCCCAATGAGGTGAAATTCCTCTGAGGAGAACCCCCCTGATGCTAAGATGCTGTGGGTTGGGGAATGGGGTGATATAGATACTTTTCTATGCGGCAATCCTCAGTTTTTGAGCTCTGCAAGGTTTCTTAATGCTTCTTCATGGTGGTCCAGAGCTATCCCTGAGATATTTTCATGGCTTTATAGCTGGTAGGTTTGTGGGTTTTTTTGTATTGTATTTATTGTGAGATGAACATTG